TTTAGGTCCTAATAGACCTGTAAGCTATACGTTAATCACACAGTTTCGAAAAGTTGACAGAAAAGCCTCACACGAACCCAGCTATTCAAACTGGTTTGCCTTAGGATAAAAGCCAAACATGTTTTGAATAAGTGGTTTCGTCTGAGAACTATTTATGGTAAGTGACATTAATAAGAGCAAATCCGATCAAAATTGAATTTTCATTTAGTCCTTAGAAGCATATTTAATATTTGTACGGGTACAAGCATATTACCCATAGCCTACCATTATAAAAATTAGAGGAATGTAAAGAAAAAGTAAGTTAACAACCTTTTATGGCCTGGAATGCGTTCTATGGTAACAAAAATTAATTTACTTCCCCTCATATTGTAACAACCAAAAAAGAGTAGCAAAAGAAAGACATTCTTATGATCTTTAGGGATAACTGTTGTAAGCTTGCCTTGAACTTATTTAAAGGAACACTCTGAAATCGGTTCTTTAGTGTTTTTCAGCGGTGCCGCTGGGCGTCACAACAGCAGAAATCTGCACTTTCTGCAGTAGCATCTCGAATTATTTTCCTTGCTTACCATCATAAACTCTCTTCGCTCTATTGGTGTGGTGGGGAGAACAAGCTCGGTGAGCAGACGGTCTCGGATTTGAGTGCGTTTATCGTCCGTGCCGGGACATTTGCAATCACCGTAAAGTTCTAACTCTAATGACTCCAGATCATCATTTGTCTTACAACGAAGCAGGCTGAAATGGTTAATTATTTATAATGGTAGATTAAAAGGTGTGAAAGATTCTCAACAAACCGAGGTAGTAAAATCATGCATTGCAAATGGCATAACTCGTGATGATGAAGACTGCGTGCTTGTACTACTTGTCCTTTGACATACTGTCTTATGGCTTCTCGTAGAATTGCCCAAGGAATAGTTGAAGATTCACGAAACATTTCCGATGTTTCCTAAAGTACGAGATTCAAGTTATTATTGCAAAGATGTGCGCAGAATAAGTTAATTTTACAATTTACAAATGCTTCTTACCCACAATTCTTGACCTATAAATTTATATGCATGCATTTTGAGAATTCAATCGAAACAGTGCTTCGACTGCACATCTTAAATTATCAAAATCTATTATTAATTTAACATTTTCTATATTGCACATCACTTGTCTTCGAAAATTCAACGAAACTTTAAAATTACTCCGATTTTTTGAATTTTTTTATTTTCAAAATAT